AGATGCATACTGCAAGAAAATTTAGGCTTCTAGCAAAGAGATAAAAAAAAGATAAAATTACTTACAAAGAAAAAACTAAGAAATCTAATAGTATCAGATATTAAAGTGAGCTTACTAAATTCAAATAATAATTTCAAACACCCATTTATTTTGGATAGATACTAAAGCAAAATTTAAAAATCAGAGAGCTTAAGTTTAACTCACAAAACTTCTGAGATATCATTAGTTATTTTAGTTTTTTAGAAGAGAAAAAATTATTGACTAATTTAAATTTACAATCTAAATTAATCGGATTTACCTATTTGCATTTGATACAAGGTAACAGTAAAAAACAGTTGTTAATCATTCCTTATAAATTTTGATAGATGTGAAATTAAGATATAATTTAAGTAGAAAGTAAAAGGTCAAAAATTATATTATTATATGTATAGAAATAATTACTTTATAATACAAAAACAAACATTTTATTTTGGCCTCAGGTTGATTTTTAAACTTTGAATAGTGCCTATATCGTGGAACATAATCTTTATCAATGGCTCAGGCTAAATCATTAATTATATTTGATTTATATAAATATTTATAGTGCGCCATAAACAGATAAAATTTTTTCTGTGCATCCCCGCAGCTATACATGGGCATCGATCATACCGACTCTCTCAACCTCTTCCTACATCAATCCTCTAGTTTGAGTTCGTATTCTTTAACTCCCTTCCCTTATGTGCACTGACTTCCTGATGCTATCTAAGTATATATGGAGTATAAGGAAACTATTCCATTTCGCTCCTCCAGGTTTTCTCTCTTTAACGATCTTGACGGCAATTAATGCAGGTCCTTCAAGTCACCCTAAGAATCTGAAGCCCAAATTAAATATTTTTTATATTTGCTTTTTTTTTTATAGTGAAAAATACTTAAGAAAATGTGCAAGCTAATTATTATATATTATAAATGCTTTAGATTATCAAATAATAAAACTATAGTAAAGCGTATTTTAAGTTTTAAGGCTGATTAAGAAAAATTATATTGATTGTATAATTCAAACAATCACAGTTATTACATTTTTTCTCTAAAAAAAAATTTAGAACATTTTCTACATGACTAAATAACTATATCAAGTTAGTCATGATAAGTGAAAGAAATTTTTTCTACTACCCACAGATTTATTATATCAAATTTTTATTATTGAACTAATTATATTTAATTATTGATATTTGTTTTATTGAAAAAGAATTTAGAAATTAATATTTGCTACAACGAAAGAAAACTCTTTTAACCTATTTTTCAAAAACCAGTTTAATTAAAATATCAACGTAGACAAATTTTACATTTTGATGTTCTATGTATTTTTTTTATTTGTTTATACAACTTTTGTATAGAATTATATTTTGAAATTTCTGTTACAGCACTTCTTTTCTGTCTTTTTTTTTTCTAAAATATTCAGAATCTAGAAATGTATTGATTTCT